GAAATCCACTCATCTCATTAATCACCGATATTTGTCATTCTTTAACGATTATAACTTCTTGTTTTTGCTCATGAGAAACTTTTAACTTTATATTGCAACGGAGTAATTACATTGCATGCACTTTCATCACAATGGAGAAATCTCTAGGGGATGTTACAAGAAGCTCTTATATAATTAACGGCAATAGCTAGAATCATTGACCTTACATAATTAGCGGCAATAGCTTAATTCCTTCTTAATACATATTTTTAGCAGCCGAACAATTAGCAGCAACATTAAATTTAATATCGATGAACTTTTGTTAGTATACGTTGTAGCGCTCTTTGTATTATAATATATATGTATTTATTGTCACTAAAAATTATTTTCGTAATTTCGTAATGAATTCTAGTACTAGCTCCCCCATGTAACTCTAATTCCTAACCACCCCTAAATCTAAATTAATAGTCAAAACAATAATCTTCAAAGGTTGACACTAATGAAGACTACTCTTTGATATGATTTGCCAGGTGTATAGTGTCCTCGCCACAAAAGCCAATGACACTTTTTTCCAAAACATAGAATAATAATTAAAAATTTAACTACTTTTGTATCAAACAGAAAATTAAGGACCTATATATCGGACTCCATACGTATAACTTTTGCTATCTACAGATAGAGTTTATATCGAAATTTAAATTTAACGAGGTCAATATATCATTATTCACTATCACTAATTTCAAAATTTAATACTTTCGAAAATATTAGATTCACTTAAATTCTGATACGAAACCCTATACGGGCGTGTGTGAGTATGTATGTATAGAGAGACAAATATGTTGAAAATTGTGTTAATGAAATGTTTTGATTACTTTTTATTATTTTTTTTGTGATTTTTGAATATTTAATAAAAAAAACATAATGAAGGAAGGGAACGTGAAAATGTTTTGTAAAAAACTTTATTTTATAATGATGAAGAGTCAAATAAATAGTAGGTATTATGAGTCACGTGGTTTGGGTCAGTTTGGTCCAAGTGGGTAAAAGCCCTGTACTAAATGGGCCCATTTTAATCAACTATTGACCCACCGACAACACGTTGATGGGCCCCGAGCCAGCGTTAAATATGGGTCGGGTCCGATCTTTTTTTTAAAAAAAATAATAATTCAAACCGACCCCTACTTTTCTCACAAAACGGATCTTGCCAACTTGTCATATAATCAAAATTGAGATTTGTGCAAAAAAAAATGTAAATCACATAGTAGAAAAAAACATAAATTAATACATTTTTAAAAATAATTACTGATTTTAGTGATACTTTTTGTTTATTATCATTTATATCAATATTGTGATAATTCTGTAATATGTATTAAAAATGAATTATGTATGCAATATATTTGAATTATAATTGTTTTTGAAATATATTATGTTTGTTTGGTAAAAAAATTGTCACGTTATATTAAAATGTGTGATAAATGTATTATCTATCATTAAAACTTGTATTATATTTGAATGATAAATTTATCTTTGTAATATGTATTAAACTTGTATTATAAATGAATTAAAAGTGGTTAAGTGAAAAAAATAAAATGTTATTGCTATAAATGATAAATATTTTTTTATTATAATATATTTATGTAAGTTTCCCAAAAAAGAAAGAAAGGTAGATCAAATGTTAAAATATCGGAAAATCTCAATATCTCGATTTATTATTTTAACTTTAATTTGTAATTATCTAGATCAGTGTTCGACGATAAATTGTAATCAATCAAGATAGAAGTCTTATTATTAATTAAGTGATATGTAGTGCTTGTGCATGATCATGCGGAACGTAAGAAGCACACTTTTTAAAAGATGGATAATTAGTTAGAAAAATACAAGGTGCATATCTTATAATACAATCATATTTATGTTCGAGGTCAATTAGGATAATTTTCATTGCAATAATGTCATTATTTAGTGATGTTCGAAATTACATTTATGATAACTAGAAAGAGAGAGTATATTTTTTAGCTTATTAATTTCCATTTTTAATAAAATAAGATTAGAGTTTGATGACCAACAAGTAACTGAAAGTCATTATAATTAAACTTTTGAATAATCGTGTAAAACTTTAGCAAGTTATTGAGATCCTTAGTCTAACTAGTAAAGTGTTAACAACCTTAATGACAAAACTCAAATTATATTGTTAACATAAATAAGGTACTCAATACTCTCAAATCGTTAAAATTATATCAATGGAATATTATTTCACGAAAAAAAAATTAGAAACTTTCGCTCATACTGAACAAACAAGATATTTAATATTCCCAAAATCGCTAAATACGCACAGCGCCTAGTATCCATTGTTTGCGGCTAGGACTACTGGGGTATCTAATCCCATTCGCTCCCCTAGCTTTCGTCTCTCAGTGTCAGTGTCGGCCCAGCAGAGTGCTTTCGCCGTTGGTGTTCTTTCCGATCTCTATGCATTTCACCGCTCCACCAGAAATTCCCTCTGCCCCTACCGTACTCTAGCTTGGTAGTATTTGAATATCGGGATCTGCGATATGATTTATAAAAAAGAAGAAAGAAAAGAAAGTGAACATTTTGAAAAAGACATGAAAAAGAACAAACCTCTAGCAACTTTTGATTGAGATCTTATTAATTTAACAATATTACATGCATGTAACAATAATAATATATGTCTCAACGTACTCTAAAGATGAACTCATAATTGTATCATAAATACATCACCCTTTTGGGGGGTTGACCTATAAATTAAAATACAAAAATAAAATAAAATATTATTTTAGAGTCTACATAGCCAATTGCCGAAAGCACAAAAATATTGCACGCCTAAATTCTTTAATTAAAAAGAAGAAGGAAAAGGTAGACCAAAAAACAGGAGAATGTTTTTTTGTTCTTTTTGTCTTATCGACATATTGGCCCTTCAAATATGGAATGCTATGTTATAATATAGTATGATTCTAGTAAGAATTCAAACAAAAATCTAAGAAAACAAGTATCAAAAAAAGGTTAAATATATCGATAACTTATTCGACTTGTCAGTAATTTCATTCAAAAATTTGAATTTTTATGTGATGTTTGAATTCATTACTTGAATATGTGATTAAGTATTTTTAGTTACACAATCTTCTAACTCAAATTTTAAATTTCCTGATAAAATTAAAAGTTATAGTGCATATAATAGAGAAAAATAACATCTTTTAAATGATTAATTTATCTACATGACATTTTATAAAAATAATTATCAATATATAACCGCTCCTACGCGATTCAAACAACTCCTTTATTATATAAAAAATAAAATGATATAAGCATACATGTATAACGTGGAAATGCAACTATCAACCCATTCCCCACTATTAATTTATTAAAGAATCGCCAACTAAAAAGATATGTATTAGTAAAAGTAGTAGAGATTTAAAAGGGCCATGCCAAATCTCATGCAATTACAAATTTCACTACTTTATTATTTATTAAAGGATTGATGATTTTTCAAGTTTTCTCTGGATGGACCATTTCTTAATAAAACAACTTTTCTTATAAGTTTAGGTTAAGCATGCTTATCTGATTAATCAAGATTATCCAGGAGGACCATTTCATTTGTAGCTAGGTCCCACTCTTCATCAAGGATAAATTACAGTCAAATATCATTCGACCTTCTAGTTTACAAAATATCTATATAGTATGTAGATGTAGATAATATACATATACCTATAAATAACATATACAATCAAAGTATTTAAATAATGTATACTTTGGTTCGCGATTTTTTATCAACCGATGGATAAAATGCTTCAGTTTTCCATTCTCATATGAGGTCGGAAAGTGGATTGGGAACAGGTCGACACGAAGTGATTCATCATACTCAAACATAAACTAAATGGCGAAAGAATATATTTACGTAAGTTTCTCAATAATCTTTTATCTTGAGTAAATCGTACGCGTTCGCAACTATAGGATAAAGAAGATATATCGTGGCTCAGTTTATGGTGGACTTTAGTTTTGGGCATTTGGGCTTTCATGTGATCCAATAGAAAGATAGTCTTACAATGAGATACAATAGCATGAAATAGAAACTCAATAGTTTGTATTTATATTCTTGAGCTTAGTTTAAATTTTAGGGAAATTGAGCAACAAAGCAAACTTATACTGTTTAATTACTTATTATAATTATAGTTTGCTATAATTACCACTTGCGACTAACACTATATATTAAATACTTGGGCTGACTTCGAGTTTGTATAATTAATCACGTTTGTTTATGTATAATTCTCAAGAATATGCAAATACATATGTATAATATACAATTATTTAACATATATACATATAAAATTCACCTCTGTCCCACTCTCTCCTCCCTTCGTCTTGCTTGCCCTATATACAAATGTATATGTATAATATACAATTATATACATATAAAATTTACCTCTCTCCCACTCTCTGTCCTCTCTCGCTCGCCTCTCTCCTCCCACTTCCAATCTTGTCATATACACAAATACATATATATATATAATATACAATTATCTAACCAATATACATATACAATTCACCTTTCTGCCACTCTTTTTCCCCTCCCTCTCGCCTCTCTCCTCTCTCTCCTAGTCTCGCCCGCCTGTCTCCTCCCAATAACATGAAGTTACGAACTGTAATTATCTAAAACTATAACTATGGAGAGTAATCAAGTTATTTTTAGTGGCTATATGTGAAAATTCCCCTAAATTTTATTAATTTAAGTTTTAGCCGTTAAATTTAATATGACTAACTTTTTAACTCCGATGGGTTATAATTGCAACCGTTCGGGCCCTTAAACCTTTTTGGGGCAATTATCATACACAATCCCAAAAAACCCAATTCTTCAATCCAACCCACAAAAACGACCCGTATATGTCTTCTTCTTCGCAACGACGCTCAATCAGATTGACAATCAGGGTTCGCTTGCCCGTGCATGTTTAATAATCTTCTATATGCTAATAGATAACATTCTGAGTATTACCTTTAGATGAAGAATGACATAGTTATTGGCAACAGGTAATCAAACATGCACATAGACTACAGTATAAAATATGTTATATGTTCCAAAGAAAGGAAGATTTAGCTCTTTACAACATTTATAGATAGTCCTTTACTACTGTCTACCATAAGAAACTTGGTTTTCCCACCTCGGTAAAATTTGGGGCAAAAATCCAACATTTTATTACAACTTTTTGAGAGAAACAAATTTCTACTTACAAAAAGACGCAATCTAATGTCCTCTTTCTCCCCAATCCTCACTATATTCGGTTTCAGCCCCTGGCTGACAACACATCCAAATTTAGGCTGGATGATGACCCCTCAGGCTGAGAGATTTTTCTAATATTTCTGCTGTAGTCAACGTCTTCTCCTAACGGGAGGTCCAAAAGGTATTTTTCCTTGCTACCAACTTGCTGCAGATGCATCAGTGCAAGCATGCTGATTGCAACCAACGCTGCATTCCCCAAAATTCCACCCACTTCATCCAATCTAAGAGACTTTCTAAAGAAATCAAAACTACAAAAGAATATATTGAATAGAGCATTTGATCTCTTTCTTATCTGCGTCGTTAAATTTTCACCTGTGGCGCTTGTAGCAGGACCATACAGATTTTCAGGAGAAACAAACTGACTGCCATTACGAACATCTCCCACCAAAGATTTAGCTTCTTCAATGAATTTGTATTTCTTACCTGGATGTTCAGCCAATCGCATTGCAAGTACAATTCGGCTTTGCTCTAAGCGAGCAAGAGCAGCATCCCTTTCTGCACGTTGCTGATTTTGTACGGTCTGGTACAAGTGCACCCAAAAAGAAGAAGAAAAAGTAACTAGGAAGTTAATATCTATTGTACATAATAAATATTAAAGTCAATCAAACTGTGCAGTCATACTTCTTAGAAAAAAAACAGAGCCAACTAAGATATCATTATGCAAATGCTTCTAGTACATATTCAGCAATAAAGAGGAGGATCTCAGAAAGAGTTAAAAATCTATCCATTTACATCTTCATAAATCAAACTTGACGTTCTTCTACTTTAAACATACTCTAATCAATGTAAATAGCTCAAACCAACTACTTGTCTTCACCAACCACATCTCTGTACCAATTTGTAACTGATTCTGTTACGCATTAGCAGCACCTGCCCCAACACCCCACAACTCCAGAAAGAAGAAAGAAAATGCTCTCACACATCATGAACCACTTCAAGTAATGCAATTGAAGAACAAGATATAGATTGCATTTACTACAATTACTCCAAGTCTCCAATGCCATCAAAGCTGATTAGAAAGAAAAGTCGGTCTTATGCATAAGGTACCACGACTCCCCAGATGGACCAATGAAATACACTAACCAGCGCAATTGCCAATGGTAAAACTCCCCAAATTTACCTCTATTGAACAGAAATGGCTGAGAGATTAAACCTGAAAATTGGCATAGTCTCTAGGTTTAGATGTATATTTAGCACATTGACATTGGATAAGCGGAATATTCTCATGGTGAAATTTATGAACATTTTGGAGCAGCCAGTTAAATAAATCTACGAGTGTATAAATGGTAGAGTTGTCATGAATCATTATTCCATACCAGAAAAATTTGAGACAGCAAAAAACTTCCACTGGAAGTGAACATATTTCTTAAGTGACAACTAATACAAGGGTAATATTCTTGATTTATGTTTTGTTTGGATAAGTTGATTACAGATTCAGTATTAGAATTGGTTGGCTCTTTTCAACATTATACCTTTTTTTTTCCTTTTTTAATGACAAGGGAAACCCGCAGCCGCTACCCTTTGGCTGCGCACAAGGTAAAACCCCCGCTCCTATGCAATAACTCGCAAATCACATAGGAGAGGTAACCCGCACTAGGCAAGCCTTGTGTCCCTTGCTTTTGCTGGCAAGGGGTTTCGAACTTGAGACGTCCAACATAAACCACTGAGCCACCCCGAAGGGTACCATTATATCTTTTTTTAATGACTGTGGTGTCCATTATTATACTTTGATCTTTTTCAGTCTTTTTTGTGGATAATGATAATGTCCGAACCAGCTTAATCGCATCTCAACTATTCCACAGGTGCCCACCAACACAAGTACCAAGTAACTGTGCTGGAATTTGAACCCTTCTTTCAAAGGTTTGAACCCACTTCATTTGACGTTGGCCACATTCTTAGGTGTTGCAGTATGCTATATTTTGTTTCCTCGAAGCCTCTCCTCAATTGTTTTTGTGTGTTTTTCCCTTACTTGGGTCATTAATCATGTTTGGATCATGCTTGACTAATAATAAACTTCTAACACTTCGGCTGTTCGGCATATGTATGTAATTACAGCCAACCGCCAACCGAAATATCAATAAATCCAATTTTTCCTAGTACTTTTCATTTGGATACTTTGGGGCAAAACATGGCTTGGAACGTCAATTGCTTCAACCTTTTGTTGAGGTCTCGGTAGTGCAAAGGTGTGACCTAGCAGTCAAATGAAGTGGGAAGAAAACCATGAGGAGGTTCAAATCAGAGACAAAAGCATCACTAGATGAATCTGCCTAATCTTTGGCAAGAAAATTTATCCAATATTGATAGGAGTCTGTAGGTATCCGGTGGAATAGTTGAGGTGTGAACAAGCTCGCTCGGACAATCTTCATCCCAAAAAAGAACCAATAAATCTTAGTACCAAAAAGTTATACTACAGAAATATATGCAAAACATATCCTAAAATTACTTCATGCAAGTTGTGGAAGCTAAGACACTAGATCTCTCACACTCTCTTTCTTAGTTCTATCAAATATTCTTAGCTTCACCTCTTGGTCCATGGAAGATTACAACTCCAAAGGTCACTCGCCGTCTCATGTTGGGTGTCCATAAACTTGCAGAGGCCAAAGTTAGAAGTGTTGCAGCCTTTGGTGGTGGTTTTTCCTTATTGCTGCATCTCTAGAACCTGCTTTGTTTCAAGCTGTCTACTAGTGTTAAAATTTACTTTAGCATCTACTGATCTATTCCTGTGGACACAGTTGCAGACAGAATGCTTCTAGTTGAACAAAGAACTAGGTTTGTCTATTCAGTAAACCAAACAAGATCAGTACAAGCCAGTTACCAATTGATTGTTCATCCTTTCCACTCCTAGTTGTTCTTCCATTTTATTGCTAACTATACTATCTTTATACAAGAATTTATAAGCAGATCACACAGCCATTAATGTTGGATACAACTTTTTAATGCACATGTACGCCTTAATATTTTTTTCAGTGGACATCAAAAGAATAATTTATACCGACCTCAAAGAACACAATTGATACCAACCTCAATGAACGTACGCCATCAGAGATGCATACAGTAAATCCAGAAAAGTCATGCACATCATAGTTCATTAGAATCGAACAACATAGTTCTGTCATTATTTATTTCAGAGAAAAGCCATGAAGATACAAGCTTGCGCAAAGGAAAAGGAACAAGAGTGATTCATAATTAATTAAGAAAAAGAGGTGAAACAAAATTTAATGTCAAACTCAGATTGTCATTAAAACAGATCTCTTCCTACCTTAACAACACGCAGATCAATTGGGTTTCGAACACGAGAGACATTGTGTTTTTAATTCCTCGGTAACCTAACAACTTATCTCATATTACCTTCCTAATTAGATAAAAAGTTCAAAAATTAGTTGGACTGTTGGGTAGTCAAGAATCTGAAGATAAGGGTAAATTGTGTGTTTATGGGTTACTCCAATGCTTGAACTTTGATAATGGTGAGACAATCAATTTTGAGGAAGATGGAAAACAGGGCAGTGGTATGTGGATGCGTTAATGAGTTCAAATTCTGATATTACAGCTGCCTATTCTTTGAAATTTGGGGTTCTGATCGCAAACGGAAATGATGATAGCAGTAGTTATAGTCTTGGTGTGATTACTGTGATAAGAAGGAATAAAGAGCAAGAAAACAAACCTGAAAAAAGAAATCTTAAATGTAAAGTTGAATTAAATATATAATCTCCAATAGGAAACCGATAGATGGACTATTTATTTCAATTTTAGCAATCATAGCTTCATTCGTTCAATCCCTACACTCTTACAAGAGGTGTATTCAACTTCTTGGACGGGTCAGCATTTAAGGGTTACAAAATTCCAAAAATAAAAGGTTCAAGGGGGTAAAAGAACCTGGTAATCAATATGTGTATAGTTTAGTAAAACGACAGTATGTTGGGAGGGCCTTTTACCATTTTCTCAACAAAAATACTACCTAGTCTTCACCGCAACTTGAATCAAACTTTTCTCTATGAGCACCAAATAAAAACCAAGCTGTCAAAATCCTGTTTCTATGAAAAATTTGGCAAGGGATAGTGTGGTATACAATCATACCATGCTAAACTTGCATGTTGCAGTATCAAATAACCACAAGGTTTTTGCAGTAATTGCTCTACATTGGACGTGGACAAGATGGAATTTCAGCACTAATTGTGATAACACCAATATCAGCACGAGCAAAATACATAGCTTAAAACTAAAGTTACCTATTTCAAAAATAAATAAAATACATTGTTTAAAACTCGAAGCATGAAAACAAAACAAATACACAGGTTTAGTGTTCTCTTTCTTTTCAAATCAATTCCTCCTTCTCCTCTTGCAATTAGTTGGTTTTGCTTGAGGATCCTATATAAGATGTACTAACATGTAAGTAATAAAAATGCTAAGCAGCTACTCAGATTATATCATTACGTTTCATTTTGATCGAACTTCACAAGCCAGATTAATTGCAGCATAGCATCACAAAACATCAAATCTAACGCATGACACAGCAGTAGACAATTTCAAACAACGCCGGCTAAATTCATTCAGTCAGAAAATGAAAAACGAATAGATTATATGAATAGACCAATAAAACAAACAAAAAAAAAAGGATAGAAATAAGAAGTTACATGGAAGAACTCGAGCTGGTGCTCAAGGTGTTCAAGTGCGGTCCGGATAGCATTGAGACTCTTAGCCTCATGAACAGCGGATTCATCCTCATCAACAGGAAACTCCTTAACGAAAACGTAACCATGCTTTACCTGATCTCCATTGTTATCATTTCTCTTGTTAGAACGGTGACCGTAAAAGTCATCGGACTTAGAGCGAGACTTGACGGAATTGAGGAATTGAGCTCGAGAAACAGAGTGAATAGCATCGCTAAGTTTATCATGTAAATCCCATATTTTCTCGAGAACAGCTTCGATTTCATACACCTCCATTTCCCATTTCATGGAGGAAACCACAGTCTGGAGGGAAAGTATATTGAAAGAGAGAGAAAGAGAGTATTCTAGCTAGGGTTTCTACATTTTATTTAATTTTGTGTATTATGTATTTTTCCCTCTTCTTCTTTTTTTTTGGATTTATTTAGCGCTTCTTTCGCACTACTACCAACGCATATTTTACAGCGTGGAAACGTGAGGCTCACTAGTCAGGTGTATTTTCATCATCATTATTTCTGTTCAGTTCTGGGTGGTGGTCCCCACAAGGAACAGTTTAATTTTAAATTTTTTTTTATTTACGTCACATTTTAAGACGTGTGTATTTACATATGTCACTATCTTTTTAGCATTTAAATGTATAAAAAACTGTTTTTATTTAAAAATAATAAATTTTTTAATAAAATGTTAAGATACTATAATATACTACATATTAATTTCTCTACAGAAATTATATTTGATATGTTGTATAATATCAACAAAAAAATAGAGAGTTATTCAGGGGATAATTATATTGGCTAATTGTAACGATAGTGGTTGTGAATATTGTTTAAGGATGGTGTTGTGGTGTACGTAGTAGTTACTAGTAATGGCGATTGGTGATTGTTTATAATAACGATGAATAATGTGGATGGTATATAATGCGGTGATTGATAGTGGTGATTTATGGTGGGTGATAATAATTATAAATCAAATAAATTGATGATTACGATAATGATGATTATATTATAGTTAGTGATGATGGGTGATAACAATAAACCACAATAAAGGTAGTTGTTATTGGTGAACAATGAAGATAGTTCTGATTAGATAAATTTCCTTTTTTATAAAGAAAATGTTTTTCAATAGCCATCTTACATAGTTTAATCATCTAAAACACGGACTCATTAAAAGAAAGATGTAATTAATAATAGTTAAGACATAAATGGGACTTGAGATAAAATTAGGTACATTTTAAAATGTAGGCGGGAGTTCACCTAAGGCTTTTCTAGGTATAATATTTACTCAACTTTTCTTTTCAGAAATACTATAATGATCAATAAAGTCACATAATGGATCAATTTAGTGTGTTATATAAGTAGTTAAATATCGCTTCAGTACTTGATGACTTTATATATATATATATATATATAATTAACAAAATATTAGGCTCGATTCTTTTTTTTCTAGGGATAAGATCTAATTTCTAATTATATTATTTTATAGAGTTAAAGTTTAGTTACTCGATAGTTTATTCGTCCAATCTATTATATGTTGATTATTTAACAAAATAAATATCATTTATTTGTTTTAAACAATATAACATGAAATTGTCAAACATCTCAAGTTAATATATGTAATTTTATTTTGAATATGTAAAGATATTTACTTTTGATATCTAGGATATCTAAAATTTGTATAAAAATGAAAAAGGAATTATATTTATCTTTAATAAATATTTATTTAAACATTAATGCTATTTTTTAGAAGTTACCTTTTTCAAGTTTGATTTATTAGTGTGATAAGTCTTGAAATTAAGAGTTAAATCCTAATTTTTTAGAAGGTATATTTTTTAAATCTACTTTTCTTAATAGCTTAGGTCTTGAACCTAATTTATTAGAAGGCATTTTTCAAATCTATTTTAGCAATTTAGGTCTTGAACCTAATATATTAGAAGGTACATTTTTCCAAATCTATATACTTTTTTAATATTTTAGGATATGAGTACACACCCTATTTTTAAAAGGGACATTTTTTCATATCTATTTTGTTGATACGCTAGGTCCTAAAATCACATGATCTATAAGTCCTAAATTCTATGTTTTTAGAATTAAGTACATATTTCACAAGTCTATTTTATTAATAGTTTAGGTCTTGAAATGACAAGATTTAAACCCTATTTTTACTTAGAATAGGCATCTTTTCAAGTTTGTTTTATTAGTGTTGTAAGTCTTAAAATTACAAGGCATAAAATATAATTTCTTAGAAGATAACAATTCGTCAGTACTTCGATCTTGTAAATTTTTTATACAGATTTTGGACCTTGTTTTTTAAAAAGATATAGTCTTAAATTTGTTAAGTTTGAAATTTATTGTTAGTTAATGATTATCAACCCTTAACTAATACTACTAACAATTAACTTTTCATCCTAAAACCTATTATAACAATCTTTTTAGCTACTTAATTTTTTTAACTAAATTAACATAACGAAGAAAACCGCTTAAACACATTAACATTATGAAATTAGCTAAACAACAATTTCGTAATTAGATAAATAATAAACTAATAAACAAACAATTAACATTTAATGAACACTAAGTATCTAAGTGATTTTAAGGATTTTTATAGCACACTAAATTAGTGTGGTATGTGACTTCATCAATTAACTAAGGTGTGGTTCAATCATGAAAGTTTTAGAAAGTCAATTATGTGTGTTTTTAAGTGTTTACCTTAGAAAGTTGAGATACTTAATTAGTTTAATGAGGTGAAAATAAATATTTTTCAATAGTAATAAAATTCATTTAATTTTCAAAAGTTCAAAATAGTAGTTTTTTCTCGTAAACATTGTTGAAACTGTTATTGTAAACGCAAATTGTTTTGCTAAAAAGTTTAAAATAGTAGTTTTTTCTCGTAAACATTGTTGAAACTGTTATTGTAAACGCAAATTGTTTTGCTATATATAATAATAATATAAATATTTTCTCAAATTAATTCGTGAAAGCCCAAATTACTTATTTGACAGTATTTTTTCAAAAAAGTATTTCTAACCCAAAAAAAAAAATTCAAATTAAATTTCTTTTAAAGTTCAACCAAATAAGCTATTAGTTGCCCTTAAACACAACTATACTCTTCCTAGATAATGACTACATTATGCTTATTTATATTATTTATTTGATTTAGATAATATTTAAATAAATTATATATTTTTTATCGTTTCACAATATTAAGACTTGTAATATGAAAAAATAAACTTAATAATATTTCCAAAGGAAAAGTAATAATAAGCGTAGAGTTACAAAAAAACAAAAGTGAGATAAAAGGGTCATCATCCCTAATCGATCTTTATATGAAATAGCATATTTTGCCATTATATAGCGAATTTAACAATATAATAAAATAATATTTGATGCACCGTAAATAAATATAGTGTAGTAGATGATGTTGCTTTTCCTTTAATTTAAGGTTTCGAGTTCGATCTAAATATGAAAAATCTTTAATAGGAAATACGAAGCTACAAACCTAGAATGGGCTTTATTCTACATGAATTTGAAATAGTCAAACTCAAATACGAATATCGACACGAAGTGAAAAACTAAAAATAAAATATCTAATACTCCTACTAGGCTACTACCATTTGTCACCTCTAAAATTGATCTCAATTTGTCCAATCACTAGGGACCAGCAGTCATGCATTTACACCACAAATTTTGGGTATTTTTCCTGTCCAAGTAATATTTGGTTAATGTAATTTTTATTTTTCATAGCTAAGCTTAGAAAATGTTTAGTGGTTCAACGAAGCTTTCAGATATGAAAATTTAAAATAACTACATATTTTACTAATGAAAAAAGTGAACTTTCTTTTTTTTTTTTTGAATTTCTAAAAATTATGAAATTCAACTTGAAGTTGTGAAATTTTAGATTAAATGCAAATTTTGGAGTATAACTTTTAAAAAAAAGTAACTAAAAACACTCCCCAAAAATTTGAATTTTTTTATACCTTTTTTTATTTTTCATATTAAAGACAAAATATAGCTTTTAAAATACTCACAATTTTTATGGATATATAAAAAGAATTCACAATGGCCAGAGGAAAATGCTTATCTTCTCTAATGCAAAAATAAAATTAAAATATAGTTGACTTGTTGAAGAAAAGCCATTTTACTTGAAAGGTGGATTTAACCAAAGTTTGAAACATATTTTCATATTTAGGTTAATTTAATTTTTGTATATACGTCCTGTACTTTTAATTTCATACTTTAGCTTAAAACAAATTTATTTCTTTGGAACAAATTTTTTTTGAAATATACAACTCCATAAACGGATGGTAAATAACGATATATGTATTTCTTTGGAAATTAAACTATTTTGAAAGTAAATCATGTCAGATTTTACTAATTACTATTGCACTTGACTTCAACAACTAAGACCAGGGCTACCAAATCTAAAAAGGGACAATGATTTTTTATTTTATATATATATATATATATATATATAAT